CACGACGCTTAACGAGTTAAGTAGATTCTAAAACAACAGTCTGGTCTAATATAATTTGATGTTCATCAAATATATATATATATATATAAAACAGAAAATATATTTAGCTTACGAGGACAACGACTAGCCAGTGGCTTGTTCTAGTACTTCCTGGTGCCGACGTCATCTTCTTCGTAACATCCGGCTAGCGTCCATTGTTGTTGTGAACGTAAACCATCAAGTCTTAGAGAATTAAATTATGACAAAAAAGAAGAATCACCATTGTTGTCATTGTATAGAGACGTTTAAAATGTGTATTTATCGAGTTATATCTAATGTTGTATTTGACGCAATAATACGAATGAGGTAATTGACTTCACAATACTGAAAGAAGTGTTTTCTAGGAATTTGCACCCCACTGTGTCTTCTATTAAATAACATTTTGTACTCCCTAGTAAAAGCTCCTCTGCCCAGAAGTGTGGTGCAGTACAAGTGCTATGTTATGTTTTGTTAACAAAAGTTATCACAATGTCAAAAATCCCAACTCAGTTATGTCATGTCATCTGTAAAATATAAAAATGATGAAAGCTTTTATTGCCATGTTTCTGTCTCTGCTGCTGACAAAACACAAACTTTCTTTTTTTTCTGACTAGTCATAGGACTAGTATGTTTTTATAGTTACTTTCCCCTCATTGGTTGTTGTTAAATTACTGATTTCGAGCAGCCGTGGCCGTTCTCTTGATTGCCAAGTACAAAAACCAGGTAAAACCCCAGACTCACACCCAACTGGTGCTGGTGAAGGCTTACTGTCAGTTGGAGTCAGTGAAGATGAGGTTAATGCCTGCTGCTCTTCTTTTGTCACTCTGTTTTTCTGTGTGTTGTCTTCAGTTTAGAAGTCCACATGGATTTCATCCTTTTGTGTCAGATCCTATAGCAGAGTGGGAGAAAATGGACGCAGACAGAGATGGAGATGTGAGTTCAGTCATTGGCAGGGCTCCGCCTGTGGGTCGAGGTTCAAAGCCAACCATGCCATCGTTTCCCGAGTATGTACGTCTGCCCGTTTCAAAGTATTCAATCAAAGCCTTTAAACCAGGGAAAGGACATGAACCTCTCCCTGAGTGGGCTAAGGAAATATTGCTTGTTCCTTTCCCTTCTGAGTTAAAGAACATTCCCTCAGTAGAAGCAGCAGCAGCACCAAAGGCACTGCGACCTAAATACCTTGAAATGCTGTGTCATATTGACAGAATATACGTTAGAATTAGAAGGGAAGTTTTTAAAAGTACAGAGGCTTATAAGGGCTTAAAACTAGGTAAATGTCCAGTAAACCAAGGCACCAAAGATCATTATTACCTGCTGCACCTTCTGAAAACTGACTGTGGATACCAGCTGGAGGTTGGTAACAATGCTTTCATTGTGTTTTTTATCTTTTTTTTTTTTTTTTTTTTTTTTTTTTTGGAAAAAGGAAAATGAAACTGTCTTTACAATCTAGAGTAAACCAGATTACCTGGCCATCAACATTATGCTCAACTACGTGCCATCTGGCAGTGTGATAAGGGAATTGCCTTTTAACATCCCCCTGCAGTGCAGGTATCACAGGTATGGCTTCCCTCTTCAGTATTAACTAAACTCTCTAAACAAAACGAATACTTAAGTCCTAACAAGAGACATGTTCTTCCAGGTTGTTTCACTCCTATAAAATCGGTTTCTATCCCAAACTTAAAGGAGGAACTGTTTTCAGAGCACTCCAACCCAAACAAAGTGTAATTCTTGTCCCTCTTGATGGTATGTTATTTTCATGATCACCTCTTCTTGCCATGTTTCTGCTGTTTCCCTCATCTGTTTGAAAGTTATAAAAACCCAAATACAATTTGGCTTTTGATAATAGTCTGAGCTCCAAAGGGAGGTGCTGCCGAATGTTTGTAAAACTCACTGAAGAAGACTTATCAGTTTACTCTGAAAGGCTACATGTGTGAAGAACAAATTAAAGCCAAATTATTCCAACTTCACAAACTTTAAAGGCCCAATCCCCTTATAGGTGTGATACCAGAGTATGAGCAGTGAATATTTTTACTTACCTACCTCCAACAGGGGGTGCTATAGAGAAAGTTTGTTCTAAAACCTGTCTGAATCTTTTCTTTTTTCTTTTCTTTTTAGCATCTGGCAATGTAATCACAGCTCCCCAAACCTACACTTTGGGTCAGGCCATGTACTTCATGGCCAAGAAGGCAAATGACACGGGAAGTTCTGAGAACCGTCGCATGTACATTAACAAATGTTTCATGACTGCCAGCCAGAACCCCAACTCCAGCCCTAAATATGTAGTTATCAACAACCAAGGGTGAGGACTGAATTTATTTATTTATTTATTTTAATTGACACTGACTTGTTCTGTCTCTCTCCACCTGCAGCTGTATGGTTGATGGCAAACAGTCTCACCAGTCAAAGTTCCTCACTAGTTCCTCAAAGATAGTCCAGAAATTTACAGTGGGTGCTTTTATCTTCAAGGATATGATTTCCACCTCTTCCTTCTCACAGGTATGTCAAGAAGAGAGGATGTTTCACGAATAGAGCAGATCAAACTGTAACATTTTTTTTTTGTTTCTTTAGCAACTCTACATGCACTGTGAGGTCTCCATGGGGAAACTTACTCTTAGTTCAAGTTCAAAAGCGTGTAATTATGACCTTAAGAACAAAAGGTAAGTTACAAGTTGAGGATGCTGTTTTGGCCTTTAACTTGCCACAGACCTAATAAAAAAAAAAAAAAAAAAAACGGACTCTTTCAGGTGGGAGGAGATTTATGGTGACGACTCTGTGTGCGCCTGCTGTGAAACGACCTGCCCCACAATACAGCCCAGGGGTAAGTGGTCATGTTACCATGTAAAGAAATACCAGGGAAGTCCAAAAGCTCTAAGACAAATGGGATGGTGTTTCCTTAGGACACTTGTTCTGATCTTTCACACCAGGTCAAAACCTCTTTCCTGTTGCAGACTGAAATAGAAGGATGAATCATTGATTTCTGTTCAAGTTTGTTTAAAAATGTGATCAAATCAAAGGTAACACAGGTCAAAGCAGTAGGAGACAAAGACCAGTTGGAATCTGTTTTAGTTCCTTATCATATATCACATTTATTTGCCTCTGTCTGGGGTAAACTGATCCCACAGGGACTCCATTTCTCTGTGAAGCTTTAGTGAGTGTTGCTGATTTTTGTCTTTACAGCTTCCAGAAAGACCATCTCCAGCCCCTCCTGGCAGGTTGACCTGAGCAACGATGGTTCTGTTCATATCGAGCCTCTGGCTGTTGATGCTGATGGAGTGGTGGACAGTGACATGGCTGACGATCTGGAAAATTACTGGGAGGATGAAGAATAAGTGTTTTAAATAAACAGATTTGATTCTGCATTGATTGACCAATGATTTGCATCCATCTTAAAATACTGGAATGACTAGACACTCCTGTTGTATTGCTAGAATGTTCAAAAAATAAAATGTTGTTACAGACACGGGGTTTTCATTACTTGGTCCTCTTCAGCACAGAGAGATCAGAAGATTCTAGATAAATAGCCATGTCACAGCATCTTTCTTCAGAACATTTTACACAAATGTTCAAAATATTTCTAAACTAAAACTTGACATTTATCCATTGACACACACACACACCAGCTGTGTCATACAGGTATATGTATTTTAAATAAGTCACAGTTGTCCCACACAAATGTAGTCCTGTATCAGCATGTGAGTATTTCTAAGCATTTCCTGGAAATGCATCACTGCATTTCTGTAAATACAGTCATGAACCACTAGGGTGTGAAAGAGATTCACTGGCTGTGCCTGACAGAACATCTCGGGGAGTGAAATCATCTTTTTAGTTAAAGGGTTTCCAATGACGACATGATGCAGAACTTTCTCCTGCAGACTCCTCTCCATGAACACCAGCAAGTCTCTCACTCTGCAGACCACAGCCTCAGGTTTCCACAGTGAAGGCTGTTTGGTCAGCAGTAGGTGCAATAGTGCAGTTTTGAAATGACACTCTTTGAGTGCACTGCTTCCAGACAGCGCCACCTGTCTTTTGTGGAGAAAACATGCAATCTGTAGAGTTTGGATGTGGCAGGGGTTTTCAGGTAGATGTTTGGACAGACTTTCCAAGAGTTGGTCTTCATACATGGTGAGGGAAAGTGTCCAATAGGAGTCCAGGTTGTTAGAGCAGCAAGGCGTCATGTAGAAATGAGACTCAGGTGTGAACTTCACCACAGGATTCATGGTGAAGGAAAACTTCATCCCTGATCTGAACCTAACCAGCAGAGTGCCTGGAGCTTCGATGTAGGGAATACTTAGCTCGAAATCATACTTGTGTGAAACTTCAGCCCAAGCTTGTTTGATTGTGCTCTGGAACCACCTCCTCACCTGAGACTTGGACAGAAAGGGAGTATTCTCCACGCAAAGGCATCCATCAAGCACATCCATCACCTCAGTCTCTACTTTCTCCTTCTCAGAATGCAGCAGGCAAACCATGTCCTCGTCTCCACCCGAGGACTGGCAGGGACAGCCATTACAGACTCTCTTATTTTCCACCACCTTGATTTGAGCACAGATCTGCATGTCTGGTGGTACATCACTGAGTTGCTGGTTCCACGGCAGGCACTGGAAACCGTACGGCTCGGGTGGAGCACAATGGATGATGACATCCCGTGAAGTGATCACCTGATAGTCCTTAATCCACATGCCTCCACTTCCCTTACAGGTGACCCTCATTGCTTTCACCATATCATGCGCAAAGCCTTCCAGAAATTCCTCCCCCAGCCACTTGTTTTTGAGAGAGGCCTGTACACACTTAGAATGAAAACGCTGCAGAATGTCACTATCGTGCAGTGGCACCACTCCGGCGATGCAGGTCACTGAGGATTTCCTCTGTCCAAGGTGTTTCAGGAGGGACTTTTTTACAAGGTACTTTACAGTGAAGCGAATCAAGGAAAAAAGGGAGAAAATGTTCCAAAGGTACCAGAAGTAATCCTCGTCACTGACTGAGATGACTTCCTCTGACATTTCACTTTCCTCAGAAGCGGACACTTCCAGTTCATACTTTCTCTTCACATGCTCTTCAGAACTGACTGTTTCAGTGGGAGTGATATCTGGCCGATCTACTTCACCCCATTTGCTTTTCGTATTCAGATCTAAGTTCAGATGCGTCTCAGAGTCACTTTTAGACTCTTCTGCTGGGTCTGGTGCAGAATCCCCCCTGCCATGTTTCCTCTTTAGCAGGTCAGGTTCACCATAGTCATTCTCAACGTCTTGACTGAAGACAATCTCATCGTTCCGGACTCTACGGTTATCTGTGTCATATAGTTCAGACTGATTTACTTCTTGGTAATACTCTGTATTTTCAGGTCCTTTGCCGTGTCTCAGTTTCCTCTCTTCTTTGAGAGCTGACATTCCGTTGTCCAAATGCCCTTCCTCCTCCTCCTGCAACACACCTGCATCTTTTCCTATGTCCACTGTGGCAGAATCATCCCATTTCTCCTCCACCTCCGGGTCATTCCTCGGACACAGTAGGAGACTCAACGCCAGCACAAAAACTCTCAGGACAGAGTCTTGCATCATCAAAGTTTTCCTTAAATGAGTCAAATAAAAATAAGATATATTAGTTATGGTCCAAAAAAATGAAGTGAATCTAAGATTAATGCAAACTCATCAAGAGAAAACACGCAAGATTTTCATTGCTCACCTTTTTACTGCAGCCTTTCAGTCTAAAGTGAATAGGTACAAAGAAGGAAGTGAGTGACTGTGCACAGCCACAACCTCTTCCTCCTTTAGCTGTAGGTTGTGTTGCAGTTTCCTGTACACCCTCCACCAAGATAACAGACACAGTGAACTTCCTGTCAGTTTCACCCAACTGTTACAAAGGACTTTCATTACACAGTATCTAGAGATGAATCCGGGGGCACCTGGTAGCCCCCATGGACCACTCCCATGTTCTAAAAACCAAACAAGTCAGCTGTTACTGTGCTTTTCGAATCAGTTCCACCTGCAGTGATATTCAAATGGGTGCAATGATGATGGTAAGAAGAGTGTCTGCTCTGTCCCCAAAATAATTTTTATTACATTACATATGGGACGTCTGTGTCAAACAAGTAGCTCCTGAAGTAGCTGTCAGTTTCAAAAATGTTGGTGACCCCTGCCTTAGACAGTTCTCCAGTCCATCACAGGGTCACATATAGACACATAACACAAACGACCATTCACACTCACATTCACGCTTAGTTTAGAGTGAACTGTGAACCTAGACTCTGTGAAGAAGCTGGAGGACCCATACAGGTTTCTCAGTAATCCAGAACATTTCATCCTTAGAAATTCAGGTTTAGGAACCGGCCAAGACATATCTTCAGTTCCCATTGAATGCTCCAAATAGATTCTAAGGCAGTGTTTTCCAACCTTGGGGTCGCACCCCAGGTGTGGTCACCTGAAATTCAACACGGGGAGGTCACGGGAAATGTTTAGTAATTGATGAGAAAAGTACTGATAAAAATATCTTTTCAACTAATTATTATTATGATTAATGTTTTGATTAAAAAGAAAGACACAAAAGACCATATTTAACAAACTGTATTCTTTCACCTTCATGAATATTCATTATGTTCAAATAAAATGCAGCATCAGTTCATTATGTTCAAATAAAATGCAGCATGTAAACACATCTGAGCGGGCACATCTCGATTGGTGGCTGTGATCACGTGACTGAACAAGTGACAGCTATTAAAATGTCTGAGGGGTCGCTAGAATTTTGTGATTTCCAAATGGGGTCACAAGGCAAAAAATGTTGGCAACCACAAGGGTTTAAGAATAGAGAGTAAAGTGTCATGGGGTCAGCTGAATGTCTAATGTCAGTGGATCCCAAAGTGGAGGACAGGCCCCCTGCAGGACGAGGAGTTATTCCAGAGCAGGCCAATATGTTTAACTTTTGATATTTCTGCATTTGTATAACATTGAAACAATTACCTGTTAGACAAGTAGAAACATTTCTAATTTGATTTTCTTTGTTCACTGTTTTAGAAATGACAGTGTTTTAAATAACATCCAATTAAGTTTTTAAATGATAGCTGTGTACTGAAGAAGCTTCTTGGACGAGAGGTGAAACGTCTTCATGAAACTAAGGCAGTCCAATTGTCCTTGATGTAACCGTCTTGAAACGCTGTGCATGTGTCACCTCACCTACACCCACAGGGTGCAGACAGACTCTGCACATTTGGAAAGAAAAAGATCAGTGTGCGTTTTATCTTTTCATGGGTTTCTAACTGGTTTGTCCAGCTTCGCTTCATTCACTGCTGCAGCAGGGAAGGTCGACACATCTGTTGTACAATAAATCCGCAACAATAACTTTGTTTGCATGTGATCGTGACTGTCCCAGGAGTCTCTCTGGTTTTGATTGAGCAGATGCATACTTCACCTCTTTTGACAACAACCACATTTTCCAGGCAAAGCCACAGATATTTGAATGTTCCACAGCTGCCCTTTGCATATCTGGTGACAGCAGCACTAAATAAATGAAGTGATCTCTGCAAACGTAAAGTCACACTGGTTAAAACAAAATCTATTTCCTGGTGAAATAAAGAAAACAAGTAATTTTGTTTCTGGACACAGTTGTTTTCTGAGGCCTGTATCAGTTTATGTGTGGTTTTAGTGGGAGGTTGTTGTTTTTTGTTCCCTGACAGGTGTCCTTGAAGGGTGGGGCCTGTCCACAGGTGACGTGGTCAGCATTGAACACCACCACAGAGATTCAAAGAGAGACTCAAACCTTTCAGTCAGAACTGCATTATCTGCAAACAGCTGTCTTTTAACAACCGGTTGTCGTTTTAGTTTTACTCCAACAGGTGAGTTTGATAAAATGTTATTCATGTAATTAATTGTATCAGTAGAATGTTCTGAAATCCTTTAATTATATTATAATTTAAATTATTTGTCACAGCTTTGTTTGTGCTTTCTCTGTGTTTTTTTTTTTTTTGGGGGGGGGGGGTTATTTATGACAGGGGTTCCCAAAATGTTTCCTAGCAAGACCCCCAAACAGCATTAGTTTCCCCTTAGCAAATCCATGGATAATGCTACAAAATGTGTAAAGTAACATCAACTTTTAGAACGTATTTTCTTACTTTTATTCTGCTCCTTTAGTCCATTTCTTGTCAATAACCTGTCCATTTTAACAATAGCTAGCTAACGCTAGCTCAATGAGAAGAGTAGCTTAATAACAGGCGGCAGGACTATGAGGTCATCGTGTCGAAGTTGTAGCTGTCACACAAAGTGTGCTCAAAATCAGAATTTGACAGTAAATTTAACAGTTTACCTATCGAACAGCTCAGGGCATATGGTTATAAAACATTTAATCTAAACAATTTAAATCATTTCTTTTTTCTTCCAATTTTCTGAGCCCCCTAACGCCCTCTGGTGGCCTTCAGAGGGTCGTGCCCCATTTGGAAACCAATTATCTAGGTCTAGGATATAGTGACTCCTTATACTCTTGTTTCTGCATAATATTGTTATAATATTGACAGTTTGTATGGCCTAAATGATGACGTTTTACTCAGGCAGGACGCCACTGGGTTTGACCATAGACCATTGATCGTAGACTACGTAGACAACAAATATTACCTTTAATTGGTGTAACTCTGTGGCGCTTTGGCCCAGAGGCAATGCCTCTGTCATTGGTGTGCAACCCCAGGGTTCACCTCCTGGGCAAGTTTGAATCCTGGTTAGGACGGTTAATTCCAGTGGACTCACCACCTGCAGGAAGGTTTGGGGGGTTGGTATGGTGCAATGTGATTTGGGTGGCGACTGCTGCCCCGCAACCCGGTAACGGATAAGTGAATGAAAATGGATGGATGGATGGATGGTGTAACTCTAAGTGCATTATTTGATCATTTGGAATTATTTTTCGCTCTTTTTCCTTGATAGAATTTCACCGGTAGCAAAGCTCCATCACATCCACCAAAGATGGATAAGTTCCGTATGATGTTCCAGTTCCTGCAGTCCAACCAGGAGTCCTTCATGAATGGGATCTGTGGAATCATGGCTCTGGCCAGCGCACAGATGTATTCTGCCTTTGAATTCAACTGCCCCTGTATGCCGGAGTACAACTACACGTACGCCATAGGCCTGCTGATCATCCCTCCGATATGGTTCTTCCTGTTAGGTTTCGTCTTAAACAACAACGTTTCAGTGCTGGCTGAGGAATGGAGGAGACCAATCGGTGAGCGGAGGAAGGATCCGTCCATCCTTCGCTACATGTTTTGCTCAGTCACGCAGAGATCCCTGATCGCACCTGCCGTCTGGGTGTCGGTCACTCTCATGGATGGGAAGAGTTTCCTCTGTGCCTTCAGCGTCAGTTTGGACATTGACAGGTTTGGGAATTACAGTCTCCTCAGGGGCTTGTCCGAAGTGGAGAAGATGAAGGTGCTGGCAAAGATTCCCTGTAAGGATCTGTTTGAGCATCAGGAAATCAGAATCGCAGCGTCAAGATACGTCAAGTGTATTTCACAGGTAGAGTGTTGACAACACTGACTGGACCGGGTGACCTCAGGATTCTAACATGTTCGTTTCAATTGTCTCACCTTTATCTTACTTCCACCTGTGGAATGCTTAGTTTATACCACTCCACTGCAATAATATGAATAGAATAGAATAAAACAGAACAGAATAATGGAACGGGATAGAACATAATATAATGGGATAAAATAGAACAGAATGGACTGGAACAGAAAAAGGGAATAGAACGGGATACAAAATAGAATACAATAGAATAGAATGGAACAGAACGGAATGAAATAGAATAGAGCAGAGTATAATTGAACTGACAAATAAATCATTTACCATGTTTACTGATCTATATCTATTATTATCTGAGAAACTGATGTTGGCTAAGAATATCTGAACTCATCACTGCACCCTAGTGGATGTATTAATTTTACAAGGACGTCACACGTAATGCACACACAGCAGTGGTGTCATTTTCAGTGAAATACTACATTAGCGCAGGAATCTTACTGAAAATACACAGAGAACTTTTGCCGTGTTTCCTCGAAAGGTCACGTGATGTAGGTCAACTGAGGACACGGTGGGCTGGACTCCTAACCACACAGTATTGGTTTTCATACCTTCTGTCCTGAGACACTTACACAGGTCTTTTTTTTCACAGGCCTGTGGCTGGATATTTCTGCTCATGATGACCTTCACGGCCTTCCTGATCCGGGCCATTCGACCGTGTTTCACCCAGGCCGCATTCCTCAAGACTAAGTACTGGTCTCATTATGTTGACATTGAGCGCAAAATGTTCGACGAGACGTGCAAGGAACACGCCAAGAGCTTTGCCAAGATCTGCATCCAACAGTACTTTGAGAACATGAGCGGTGAGATGCAGAGCTTCCACAACCAGCGCTCCTCAGACAGCGACAGCGACGAAGATGACGAAGACATCAGGAGGAGTGACGAAGACAAGCTGCTGGGCATCAGGGCCCAGGATGACATGAATAAAGTGTTGTGGAACTGGCACACCTGTAAGCCTGCTCTGGCTCTGAGGAAGAACTATGCTGATGTTCATGAAAATGAAAAGGTGAATGGAGAAGCCAATGGAGGCTTCAATGGGTTTGTAAATGGACACACTCAGGACGTGAAGAAGAAGGAATGGGCGGTGTATTACAGTAAAGTCTGAGGAGTTAACAAATGATATAATACCTTATAATGCATTAATTTCCCAAAGGGAACTCCCAATGGATTATTAAAGTTCTATCTATCTGTCTATCTTCCTATCCGTCCGTCCATCTATGCATTTCACTGATTTCTGAATGCGAAATAGTGGTCTTTAAAACAGGTGAAGTTCATTTTAGAGCCAGCTTTTCACGAAAAACAACTAGAACAAGGAAACAAGGTTTTCGCGCAAAGTATGACATATATATATATATATGTAAAAACAGATATAAATGGTTTATTTCAGTGAGCTAACAGCCAGTTAGCGTGTTTGTCCCTAGACACTAGGATTGACACAGAAAATGCTCCACTACATTTCTCCGCTACAAAGAGTACTGTAAAAAAAACTGTTTGTCCGGTCATGCAGTAGACCTGCTCCCACACCCACCCACTGCTCCACAGATTTCCAGCTTACGAGGGAAGAACGTTCTAAGCCACAGCCTTGAAATCTCAAGTGAGTCAAACAGAGTGAGGGAAAAGGTAGTATGAGATTATAGACAACAGACATATTAAAGTAACACTTCAGTGGTTTCACTGTGTTTGTAGAAGACACCGACACGTCCTCCGTACAGCTAACTGAGGACATAGAGGACATAGACAATAAGGCTTCACTAACACCTGTAAAACAACAACAAATAAAAAAACGTTGGGTTTTTATTTTTTATGACTCCTTTAGATGTTTTAATCTGTTGTGTTTTACTGCAAGGTCAAAGGTCAATGTCTGAGCTCTGGCTCAGAGTGAAGACAGACCCTGGGTGAACGAACCTGTGACTTATCTGATTAATTAAAACTCTTAACTAAATAAACTAAACTAAATTTTTGACAGCTAGTTTTTTTATACACAAATGAAACAGAACGAATTGTTCATTTTTGACAAGTGGAAAATTATAATAAAAAATAATTTATGTTGCGTGTGTGTACGTATATATGACCATGGTATTAATGTCTGCTGCTGAAGAACGAAACAAGAGGTTCTGACCGCCAGAACCATTTACATGGTGATATGAAAACAAAGCCACCATTTGCATGCCCTCCTCTGTCTGAGCTCCAACACTCCAGTCAGTCCAATGAGAACAAAAAACGACTGTCCAATATGAGTCCATGGGAATCTAATCTGTAAATAATCACTGTCATACTTCGTCTGTGTTACTGCAGTAGTGGAGTTATTCTCCCTCGTCACTGCACCTTAAATAAATCCATCCATGTTGATTTACATGTTGTCCTGCACCGAACTTTCACACCTGGTGTGCTCTGGCGCCCCCCAGAGGCAACTAACTCACTTTACAAACCACTGCTGTGGATTCACAGTAACAGAGTAACTTCAGAAACGGCTGGAGCACCGTTTGCGACCACAGACGCTGTGTCCACGTCTTCTTCACTGCATTGTGATCGTACGCATGTGAAATCTGTGATGTGCAAAATATCCCACCCTCACTATGCAATATCAGCTGTTCACGCCAAGCTGAAGATACAAAGGTGTTTTCCCATAACGCAACACAAGAGGGCGCACTCCTCCCAAAACCACGGCCATTAACAAAACAAGTGTACTGTATACGATACACATACAGCATGGTGTAACGCTATCACAGCAGAGTAGTAATGAAGATGATGGAGCTGAGGGAAAATGGCATCAATCCCACTGGAGCACATCCCACCCTCACCCCCCCCCCCCCCCCCCCACACACACATACAGCCA